GGATCACTTTCTTCTTTGTGATGCTTGTACTGAGAGAGAAGCAATGGCAGAAAATGAAATACTTTGCATTTATTTAAAAGCATTCAAACCTAGCAGATACGCTGGACCTTGCTGAGTTGTCTAGTGTTGTTTTAAATCTGAAATGGGTCAGATTACTCAATGTTGGTTCTGGGGTCTGCACAAAAAAGAACAATATACACTTGTAGCAGTAGAAAATAAGTACAGATTTCTCAATGGGATTTAGTATTTAATCTGGAATTCCAATGCTCAGAATTCCCATACAGTTATTCATGGTTTTTATAGGTGTCCACTGTTTCTCAGGAGGCATACTGAATACAATTGCTTAGCATTAGTCTTTCAGTTATAGGTTCCCTGTAACTGCCAATACCACTAAGTTCTATTTCCTTTCAGATAACTAGCCAATGTAAAACAACAATGAAAGGTAAGGATGCAGAAATGGAAACGCCAAGCTTATCCTCTTCTCAGATGGGAGGGTGGGGAGAAAACAGGTTTCAGCCCATGCCATGAGGAAGGCATTTAAACAAGCCTCCTGAGCGCACGCTCTCAAGACTCGGTGCAAGATGGGGGGAAAACACGACTGGCTCACAGGTTTCCAAGCTATGAAGCACTGTGAGAGAGGGGAGAGGGTAGCTCGAAGCTGGACTGCAAAAGCTCAGCTAGGGCAAGGTAGTTGGTTCACCTACACACACGGTAGCTTTCGTAGATGCCAGCTTGAGAGGCCCAGCTCTCCCCACCTGATACATAAAGCACCTAAGCACCCACCAGAGCTGAAGAGATTTGACAACTAGAGGCTTCAGTACTGTCTCTTTCAGATCTGGCCATAATCTACTCGTTTCTTTACAAAAAGCATCAATAGAAAAAAAAAATGGGATGAAGTCAGCTGTGTCTTCACAGAGCTCCTTTATTCAAATTTCTACCTTATTTCTAGTTGAAGCAGCCAATCAAAAAAATATGGAAACCTTTTTCAATCCGAAATTAAAAAAAAAAAAAAACAGACAACATTTATTTCAGCTCAAGGTCACAAGGAAACAGTGAAACTGCATGGCTCTAACAGTTGTTTCTGCCATGAAAGACAAAATACAAAATAACAGGCTGTAACATCATGGCTGACTAGCAAATGAGTCCTGCTTCACTGGGAAAGCAATTATCACAAAACGCAACTGTTCCAGGCCGTTCCCACACAACGCTAGCTGCCGGACAATGGCCCCAGTTTGCAAACCAGAATGGAGAACTTTCAAAACGTAATTCAGAAACTAGTTCTACCTTCCTTTCTTTAAGATAGCTTGTGAGATATCCTCAAAAGCAGGTAATTACCAAAGACTCTCTGAAAGTCTGTTTGAAATACTAAAGAGCCCAGCATGCGCTGCCATCACCTACGTAAGAGGTTGGAAAGGCTGATCTCCACTACACATTTCATTCAGCCTTGTCTTTAAAGGCTGTGTAATAGTGAACAGATTATAATAAAGCCAAGTGCTAGTTTCTTCCTCTAACATGAAACCAGACGGGAAGGGGGAAGCAGTAGTTGAGACTGCCATTTACAAACTGCTGGAAGAAAAGCGGGAAGACCTCATGCTACACATCAGCACCTCTGCATTTTAGTGTAAATCACGTGTTACCATAACATTTTAGATACTGTAATGGTAAAGCTAGCCAGCCAGCTAGCAGCACTCCTGAGCACCTGTTCTGCTTTACAGCTTAAGCTTCAGCTTAAGCTTCAGCTTACTTTTTGCCTAGAAAACTTCAACGCCAGGCAAGCTCAGCCACTCCTGAGTGAGTGCCAGGCCTCTTGGTTTCTCAGGATGCCCAGGAGGATGCCTTGTCTCCCCAGAGGCTCTGCCCTTGCAAAAGAGCTGCCCTTCCTGCCACCAGAGGGAGTAGCCAGTTGTAGCACAGGCATGTTTTTGCAGGGTGGGTGGTATTCAGTGATCTCTCCTGGTCCGGGGGAGATGGAGAGCTGTTGATTTAAGACCAGCAAGTTATGTAAGTAATAGAGTACACACTAAGCGCTTAAATTTAGTATATTCAAATCACACTAATCCAACTTCTAGCTGGAGGCAAAATTTTAGTTTGCAAAGATGCATCAGCTCCTGCAGAGAATGCAAGAAACTCCCCTCACCCGCTCAGAAAGGCACTGAAAAGCAATACCATCTCCCCCTCTCTCCTTTCCCACCCTCAAGTCTCACAGGTGAAACCAACGGGACTGGAAGGAAGAAAGTAAAACCAAGAGCCAAAGGAAAAATGGGGTCTGGAAGGGAAAGAAAGTGCACGAAGAGAAGGCAAGCTACAGGTTAAGAGTACAGACAGCTGATCAAGGTGGGGGCTAGTCATATGCCTCACACTGTGCTTTCTAGCAGTCAGCTGGCTCTTCTCTGGCCGTAAAGTTTCTCCCTCCCCGAGTCTGGCCCTTATTCCTAAGCTCTACCTGTATTTTTATTCTGACCTCTGTTTTTGTCCTGAAAAGCTCACATTCTGCCAAAGCCACACAGTGCAAGATTTCTCTGCAAGGATGGCTGCTGCTGCTTCTTCTCCTTTTCTCCTGTACATGCACAGTATGGTGACTATTAGCTAGCAGTTTGCTTTAGTAGGTCCATGAGGGGATCTTGTACCTCATAACATCCCATCTTTTTTCCAGCCTTATGACATACCTGAGAACCTGGAAATTTTAGGGATTAGGGTTTGAGAACTGTCAGATTAAGTTGTTCCGAATGAGTGGGAATAGCTATGAAGCTTGCTGGACAGAAGACAAAAGTGGACACAGGTCATCATCACCATTTCACATCACTCTTGTTCTAGCCACCAAGCTGTGCTAATGTCATCACTGTTCTAAATACAGAGATCTGTTTCTAAAATATAATTCTCTACATTTTGATTAGTACCACTAAAGGAAAAAAGTACAGTTGGTTGCTAGATGTATTCAGGACTAAATGACAATGTATTCAGGACTAAATGACATAAGGATAATTAGTTTCATCTTGCCTGGTACACCCCTATATGTGCAATTCTGGGTGAATTCCTTTCACAACATTTAAAACCATTCCCCAAAACCCAGAGAGTGCGGTGGGAACTGTCTTACCATTTTCAGCATGTAATGTGCCATTGCATGGAGATGTCGTGTTGAAGATCCACTCACAATTATAAAATAATTACAGTATTTTATTTCTGGAGGTAGCTGGATGACACAGATGTCTTTAGCGTTTTCTTGCCTCAGCAGAGGTACAACAAAGTCAATGTTGAACTTTGGAAGAACAGTAGCTGGAACAGACAGAAAAAATAATACAGTGGCAATTTATCTTTTTAATTGCAAAAATCAACCACTTAAGACGACATAAAATGGCAATGAAATTAATTATAGCCTAAGCTAGCCACTCACTGGAGTTTGGTTTGATACTGACAGTGCAACATGAACTGCAAATTTTTAAAAATCATTTTTAAAACCATCAAAGCTGAGAACTAAGCACTCTTCTGGTAGATAACACTCTATCACTAGATATAGCAGTTAGCAAACATCAAAGTTTCTTTTAGGTAACTTTTACTTATTTCTTGTTGTTAGTACTTAAGAGTCAATGCTATCGTCAAATATTTGTAAATTAAGATGAATGAAACCCAAGTACTTCAACAGACATTATTAAAACAACAGATAAAATTAAAAAAATCAGAACAATGTTTTTCAACAGGCCTGTGATAATACGTGGTGATGAAATTACTCTAAAATCTTAAGTAGATGAAATCAATATATCGAAAATGGAGCTCATGTGATGCAGTGTGAAGGTACTTTTTATCTTCACATTGACTAAAGCCATTTTTTCTTTTTCCCTAGCCTCTTCTGCCACAGAGGATTATAATATTGTAGACAAAGCTTTAGTCCTTCAACAGTTTAAGCAAGCCAGCTTAGAAACTAGTCAATTGGTGCAACTACCTTCTGTTCACACCATGAAATCAGTTTATTTCTAATTTGCCCTAATTAGGTAGATGCAACTTGTGTGCGTACTTAAGGCATAATTTGAATCTGTCAGCAATGCATGCCCCTGCCACTATAAAGTGAACATCAGTGCGGACTGAGCATCAGCACAAAGCCAACTTTTATATTTACCAATATGAAGAAAAAGCCAAACAAAAGAACAATAGCTACAGATAATTATATGCATGAATGGGGATATGAAATTGGATCAGATCTCTGTAAATGAAAGCCTTTGAGCTTAGGGACTCATGCACTCTTTCAACTTTTGCTGTGGTCACACATGCAGAAAATTAGCAGCGGCCACAGCTCCTCCAGACGCATCAGTTACAAAAGTTAAATATTTGCCTGGTAGCCACATGTGAAGTCTCTAGTGCCTACTTAGAGAACGAATGGTCTGAACAACCCCAACCACACTGAACGTCACGGTCAGAACTAGGCTAGAGAAGATCTGCAGAACAGCTACAACAACAAACCAGCTCAGCGCACACAACCCTTATACCTGTAACCAGCCATCGTGCTACTAAAACCGTTATCTATACAGGGACATTTCTTTGCGAGCGTACATCAGAGAAACACACCTCCAACTCGGCACCACTGTCCTCACAAAAGTTCCTGTATGTATCTACACACAGGCTCGGTTCGCACTAGCCACCGACTCCTCACTTTACAGCAGGACTTCAGAGGCGATCATGCTTCAGCACAAATGCCATGACCCTGAGGCCTGCGGTCTCAGCCGAGGTAAGGGCGATTCCATCGCGCCAGGCACCCCAGGATCCTCCCGCAGCTGCAGAAGGAGATCCCACGCGTCCGAAGCGGTTAGTTTCTTCCCGAGGCGTTACACTTCGCTCAGGGCACCATTTCACAGAGCTGGAGAGC